GGCGGCGGCGGCGTTGGCTGGCCAGCACCCGGCGCTCTCCTACTCGTACTCGCAGGTGCAGGGCGCGCACCCCGCGCACCCCGCCGACCCCATCAAGCTCAGCGCCGGCACTTTCCAGCTGGACCAGTGGTTGCGCGCGTCCACCGCAGGCATGATCTTGCCCAAGATGCCCGACTTTAATTGTGAGTACCCGCGCCCGCCCAGGAACCCGGCCTGCTGGAGAGGGAGGGAGCGAGGGAGCCACCCCACCCTACTCCTGCCTCCAGGTGGGAGCAAAAATTGGGGAACGGAGGTGGCACGCAGACCGTTCGCTCTCCTACACATCCAACACACCTTCTGCACCCTGCGCCGCCTCCCCACGCTGGGCGGTCGGCTCGCAGCGAGCGGCAGAAGGGCTTTTTGCCTGGGGCCTTCAAGGACAGTGCGGGCTACGGAAATTGAGACTCGAGGCAAAAATTATTAAAATGGCCATGCACTGCTCTTGCTTCTTTTCCACTTTTAAGGGAAAGGGGCAGATGGAGGTGTGAGACTAATGAGCATCCATAGGAAATAGTGGAGGAGGTGTCATGAAAAGATGAACTCAAAGAATGCCCGAGTTAGGCAAGAACCAATGATGGGGGTTCACTGAAACCAAGCGTTTATAATCCGGTAGAAAAGGTCTCTGAAGAGAACCTTGACCTCTCCGGAGGAGAGAAGTCCAGGAAGAACGAACGAAAAAGGCGCTCAGAAAGACCCAGGCCTTGGCTTTCCCCTGGGCCTTTCCGGGGCTCCTTTTAGAAGCTCCGGAGGTCTGACATGCTCTATCCTTACAAGAAGCAGATGGCTTGGGTCTCCCCGAAGGACCAGAGACACATCCTTTTGCCTGAAGAGCCGGACCAGGGACTCTGAGCCGCAGGTGTTTGTGCCTGAAACCCGGTGCCCCACACCCTAAGGAGGTGCAAGGGAGGCGGCAACCATCTCCCTCCCGGGCTCGAGTGGTTGGGCTATCTTCTCGCCCAGCTAGGCCCGGAAGCCTGGGACCACTCGGTGTTTCCTAGTCTGCTTAGGCGACTCAGCTCTCCTGCCTGGCTGCCGCTCTGCCCGGGTGTCGGCTTACTTCCTAGGCAGGCCAGAAACGAAGAGAAAGGTGTATACCGATTTATTTTTTCAGCCGCCAAACACCCAAACAAAAAGTTCCCTTTGTTTCCGTCTGAGTGGATTTGTTTAGACTGGAGAGATGCAGGCATGGGGGCGTGGGAGCACAAAAAGAAAACAGAAATAAACATTTGCCAGAATTCACGGTGTTTTTGCAGGGAGCCATGGTTGGGACTAACCAGAGAAAAGCTTGGACAGCAGAATGCTGGAGAGATCGCAGGGGAGTGATAAAATCCCAGCGTGTGCATTATTTACCCACAGGTCAGCTCCAACTGAAGCCATCATGGCCACTTCATCCATTCCCCAAGCAAGAATCACTCAGTCCTTTTGCTCTTAGCAAAGCCTGGGGGAAAGTTGCAGATAACGATTTTTTTCTCAGTTTGTAGCTTTAGACAGGTTTGAGCCTGGGAAATCCCGGGTCAGCCAAACCCAGGTCACGTTTCTGCTCGTGGCCAGCAGAAGTCCAACAAACCCTTATGCATGAAAACGCGTATTAGTGCAGCCCCTGGGCTCCGTGATGGTCCATTTTGACCTGCATTTCTCAGGACCTGGACGCTTAGGTGCTCCCCAGGGAGCTAATACAGATGGCCCCTGCCACATACCTGCAGCCAGCCACTGTGGGCCCTGTGGAGTCCAAGGTCTTCCAGTGAAAGCTGGATCCTGCTGCCAATGCACCTGGACCATCGCTGATTTCTTCTCTTTTTTTTCCACCCCGAATGCTAACTTCTAATCTTGATTTATAAGTGGTCGAATTAAAATGCCCTCAGTTCTACATTTGGGAATGGGAGCTAAATAGGGAGATCCTCAAATCGCCAAGAATACAGGCAAAGATGGTGGAATTCATTCTGACAATCCCTGTCTCCAGACGCTGGAGAACCTGTTTGGTTCCCTTTAATTGGCTGTCTCTTACGGCATTTCCCAAATGGGCCCTTCGGAGCCTATATTTTAATTAAAGTTCTAATGTATTGTCAAGTTGGGAATTCGGAGCCTTGTTTAACTAAAGCAGGGGGCGTGGGCCTTCCAATAAAGCAAATTGCCGGTCCCTGGGGAGCCTGAGCTCATCCCGGCCTGCTCCAAGCCTCTTTTCTTTTCTCCTTTCTTACTTTTATTGTCTAACACTTGTCAGGCTCCTGGGAAATCAAGGGAACTCTCTTTTTGAGGTCATAAAATTCTCTGTGATGTAACCGTGCGAAATTATGTAAATAAAGCCGGCGAGGCCTCAGCCGGTGGCGCTGCAAGCCGGATCCACGCCTACGCCGAGGCCTTTAATTTGCGTAATGAGAATTGTCCAGGAAAGACTTCCAATCTCCGTAGCCGCTCCGGTACTTAAGTACCCCGGGGTGCCATGCCTGGAGGAGGAGGGGGCCTGTCGTTTTTGTCACTGACAAAGTTTAGATGTGAGAAGATCCCTGATGAATATACATATTTAGGGTTGGCCTTGGACCTTCTCTCCTACCCGCCACCCCTTAAAAAAAAAAGTGTTAAGGAGGTGGGGCTGGAGAAGCTGTACCATTGAGGGGAGAAACCCCAGGAGAGACTGGCTGAGTTGGAGAAGGCCGGGTGAAGAGAGGGGAGGAGGACAGTGGCACCTTCTTGGACACTCTTGGTCACTCACACCTCTCTCCTTTTCTGTCAACATTAGCTCACCAACTGTCTCCTCCGCTGGAGAGGATTTTCTCCAGCAAGGAGTCCCCCTACTGCATCAGGACGCCCAAGATTTGCTCCCATTAATACCATACCGTCTGTTTGCACGCGGGAGTTTCGATCCTGGGCTCCAGGACGTTGTCTGACCTGCGTGTGTAGACAGACGGAGTCGGTAGTGGTGGGAATGGAAGGCCGAACTCACGCGATTCTGTTTTTTCTGGCCCCCCGCAGCACAGGCGCAATCGAACCTGCTCGGGAAGTGCCGCAGGCCGCGGACGGCCTTCACCAGCCAGCAGCTGCTGGAACTCGAACACCAGTTCAAACTCAACAAGTACCTGTCGCGGCCCAAGCGCTTCGAGGTGGCCACGTCGCTCATGCTCACGGAGACCCAGGTGAGCTGTCTTCCCCTACCCGGCTAAGGCCTCAGACTTGTGGTCACTTGCACTCCGGTCCCCTGTGTGTGGAAAGCTCTTGCCCATTGTGTGGCCGAACTGGTTCTGGCTCTTAGGGACCCTGTGTTCTTACAGAACAAGCGGGAAAACAGACACCTGGTGCCCAGAAGTTTGATTAGGAAGGCTCCGATCTGCATTTTGTACCAGTCCTGTCGCTAGTGTTCCCCAGACCACATTTGAGAAATTCCACCCTGTAGAGAAGGTGATCATCCTGACGTTTACAGAGATGCGCCCCAGCTGCCCTGCTGCTTCCCGCTGCTAACGGAAGGCCCTGCTAGGTACACAGAAGATTCCCGTCCCTCCCGGGTGGGTCGTAGAGTCAGGGCCTTCCTTTGGGCCTCGCAGCCCGGCTCCGCTGGGGTTTGCGGACTAGGAGCCTTTGCTGGGGGGTTTCTTAAGACGGCAGGTTATTTCAGGGCAGGGGACAGAAGCAGTGAGTGCGATGGGATGTGCCCAGCGGGCGCTCCAGGGGCCAGGTACTTCAAACAGTTCAATTTGATTCGGGCAAAGACTCACGCCGTTGGGCTCACCATTATCTGCTTTTTCCCCAAAGGTGAAAATCTGGTTCCAGAACCGGCGGATGAAATGGAAACGGAGTAAAAAGGCCAAAGAACAGGCTGCGCAGGAGGCCGAGAAGCAGAAGGGCGGGGGCGCCGGAAAGGGAGGCGGGGGCGGCGGCTCGGAAGAGAAGGAGGACCCGGAGCTGCTGGGGCCACCGGCCTCTGCGGAGAAGGGCAGCGGACGCCGCCTCCGGGACTTGAGGGACAGTGACCCCGAGGAGGATGAGGACGAAGACGACGAGGACCAGTTCCCATACAGCAACGGCACCAACACCAATGCCCCCTCCTCTGACTGCTCCTCCGAGGACGACTCGCCACACACTCGGCCTGGTGGCCCTGGGCACCAGCCCCCGCCGCAATAGGAGCTTCCTGCACGACAGGGACTAAGGGGCTCCGAAAGGGCCTCCACAGCGGGCACCCAAGTCCAAGGCTCAGGGCAGGTGGGAGAGGCAGAGTGCGACTTGCCAGAAACCCACCAGGACCTGAGCCTACTAGGAGATCGTCCATCGGTCGACTTCCCTTGTCTCCCCATCCGGCTTTTGACCCACCTTGTTTTGCCTCTCCTGCGACCTGTCCCCAGGACATCGACTGTGGCGCTTAAGACTCAGCCTCTGGTCTTGCCAGACCTGGTGGCCTGTCTTGTGGGGCCATGGCATCTCCTCAGTTCTTCAAGAAATGAAGAAAAGCGAGGAAGCGAGGGGGTGGGGTTTCCAACTCGAACTCGTTTTTTTTTCCTTTTAATTTAATTTGATTCGTTTTGGGGGGCAGGGAGGTGTTTGTGAAAAGAAGCAACTAATACCAGAAATAGCCTCCCATCTTCTCCCCATCCGAGAAGGTGAAACTCTACAGTGTTACACGACCTTTGAAACTTGAAACATTCTCTGGAAATGCCATTCTTATGCTGAGTACTGGGGGTGGGGTGGGGGTGGGAGAAAGGTTTTATGCTTCTGCATCCTCGCATCTTTGGGGGGAAAACACTATGTCACGAGCATTCAAACTGCTGGAAATCTCAAAACTATTGTCTTTATTTTTGTATATTGTATTTATATATATAAAAGAAGCGTCTACTTATGCATGCTAAATTATTATTTAGCTTCTCCCATCGCCCATGATGGAATGTAAAATAAATCATTTTTTTACTGGAGAGTGCACCTCTTTGGGGGGATATTTTTATGAAAACGGCTTTAAACATTTTCTGTTTTGTTGAAATAGCAGGACTGTGTCTACCCTGTCTCTGCAGCAGCAGGAGTGGTGCTGACTGAATCAGGATCTGAGTGGGATGTCAATTAAGCCAACTCCCCTTCGGGTCTGGACTTAGGCAACCGGGTGTTGGGAGTCCTGAAGGCAGGGCAGTGCCTAGGTGTGAAGTATTGTAACGGTTTCCAGGACCAGGCGTCAACCTATGTCCAGGCACCTACCTGGCTCATATCTGCCCTGGGGATGCATGGAAGGGAGTCCCTTTGGATTCTTGTATACATCAATTTCCGTTTCCATGGAGAGCTTCATGTTTCACTGGTGCGCCAGAAGTGGACACAGATTATTTGACTATTTTGGAAAATAAACTTCAATTTTAGAAAATAAACTTTAGTAGCCCTTTGGGGTGGCCATGAGTCATCTTGGATGCACTCGGGTGGGTCTTTGCAGCCCTATGCATGGACTCTCTGCAGAACACCTTGGATGGCTCTTGGCTGCTCCTCTGTAACCCAGCTGCTTTGTGTTGGCCATGGACCGCATTCTTGGATCAGTCCTTGCGAACATCCTCCTCCAGGACAGCCGGCTGGCGGCAGGAATGCTTCACACTTGGGCTGCAATGGCTTTGGATTAATAAACCTCTGCAGTATGTCCTTTCAATCTCTGGGGAGCCGGCGAGGCATGCTGCCCATGTGCTGTGCACATGCTGAACGGAAACTTGCTGCCCAGCCTGGGGCTGCAGCTGCTGGGTCAGCCTCCTGCTGGACTTCCACAGCTCCCTTCCCAAGTCCGAGGTGACTGCCTTAAAGTGGCCCCACCAGGAGGGCCAGACTTCCTGTTCCCATCCCACCCCCCACCTCACTGCCCAGGCAGCATCTAAAGACCTCTCTCGTGTAGAGGCTGGAGACCAAGTTACAGACACTTGGTTCCTTCCCTGGGCTCTCTCCTGCTGCTCTCCCTCCTTTCTCCTCTTCTCTTTTATCACCCATTCCCTTTCTCTCTTTTACAAGCACCTGGGCGTCGGGGTAAGCGGCCCCCTCCCCCACAGCTCCCCTCGCAGCTGCCCCCCTCCTCGGTCCCGCTGATAAATGGGTTCAGAAGGGCCTGGCGTTTAATTTGGGTGATTACAGCGCCGACGGGTGCGGCCGCTCCTCTACCTCGGGGGCCCGGGTGAGATTAATATCCTCTCTGGCAGCTCATTATCACCCCGGGCTCCTTCCATAAAATCCAATCTCAGCCAAGGCCGGGGCGGGGAGCGGCGCGCTGCTGGGAGCCGGATGAGAAGCGGAGGAAGAAGCGTGTTGGGAGGGTGCGGGAGGGCGCCTGAGGTCCAAAGGTGCCTTTGGGGTAGAGGACTGGTTTTTCCAGTGGCAGAGATGTGAGAAGTCCGAAGAAGAGGGATTGGGAAAATGAAAGATCAGATTCCCAGCCCACCCCACTTTTGTGTGCGCGTGGGAGGGGGCGTAGTGAGGGGGAGGAGTAAAAATACCTGCCACCTATGCCTACTACTTTAAAATTTCTAACACATTGGTTGAAGTTCAACCTGAAACCATCTCTTCCCACACTGGTTTCCACATCTGGGGGTTATTTCCCTCCAGCGCTCAGCGGCCGGCCCAGCTTGGGGTTTCTCTCAACGCCTCCCCTTCCCCAACAGTTGGCAACCGAAGAAGAAGGGGCTGGGCCTGGAATGGGGGTGTCATAGCTGCTGGGTTCTTCCTGGGCATTGGGCTCTCTGGGGTGCCTCAGACCTCAGCAGAGATTCTATCCCTCCAAACCAAAGGACGTCCACCTTCTACTTAGTGCGTTTGCTCCCCATAAACGGACCTCAAAGTCTGGTGTGAGGGGAAAGCTCTTAATAAAAAAATAAAGAAGATATTTTGAGGAGACACCTGTCAAACCACATGTGTGGCTCCCGCTCAGGAAGGGTTGGTTCCTCTGGCGGGCCTCTGGGTGAAGCCTGGACCCACGAGAGGCCGCAGCATCTCGTGCCAGCTGTTTAATCGCAGCGGAATTTATCTCGCTAATAAATTTAATGATCAATTCATTCTTGTCACAGTAGCTCTTCCCCAAATCAATTATAGCAAATTTAAATATAATCACTGGCTCATCCTCACTCACTCCGGGCAAGGCGAACAATTCATTCCGGCTAATGAATGGCTGTGAGGCCCTGCTCGGCTCCCATTCGGTGCGCGTCCTGCAATCTCCAGAGGGCTAACTCCACTCAGACTGGTGGTGTTCGTGGTGGGGGGGAGGGCAGCATGGAGGCCCTGTCTTTCAGAACCGCCCCTGAACTGCACTCAGCGGCAGAAAAGGCTTTTCAGCAAAACGGATGGAACTAATTTCCAAGACTCTGGAACCAGATCTATGCAACGCAGTCAGCGCCCAGAGGGAGAATAAGTGTGGTTCCCGACCGACCCCCACCCCTACCCCCACCCCTAAGTCTTGGGCCCAGCCGTCTTGTTCCACACATTAACCTTGCTCTCCTGCTGTGCACCGACAGTAATCAAGGGCCTGTTTATTTAAAGTCCTTTAACAGGAGCTAGGGGACAAGGTGTAGACACTGTCTGGCCCATGGCTGACCCACAGGATCCCTTCCCTGATGCCTTCTCGGTTCGCATTTCTTCCGCCTTGCTCAGAAAGTGGCATCTCCGCCAGGCGAGTGTTTTCCGCGTGTGCAGGGTGACTCCAGTCCTCTAAGAAAGCTGGCGGCTGAGTTCAGAGGCTGGCTCCTGAGGCCGCTGATTCACGACGGGAAGCGCTGGCACCCAGGGTAACTCCGGCTGCCACTGGGCCTAAAGGGGATGGGGACGCGTGAACAGGACTAGAACCTGGCCTGCCCTGACAGCCAAGAGACCTCCCCTCCCCCTCCCCTAACTTCAAAAGATCAGCCCCAAAGCCCATCTCTCTCTTCAAAGAACAGGCAGACTTATTGTTGTAGGGAAGGTGCCATCGAATCGGTTCCGACCCATAGCGACCCCATGCACAACAGAAAGAGTCTGAACAGAGAAGCAGAGAAGAAGAAAGCAAATCTCTATATCAGCCCCACCGCGCGTTCCACATCTGCAGGCGCCATGGGGCTCCCTGCGCTCGCCTTGCTCAGAGAAGTCCAGGCTCAAATCCAGCTCCAGTTTGGTCGCTAGCATCTCCCAGTAAGGTTTGATTGAGCCTGGGGCCTTCTGGGCCTGGAGAGTTAAGGGGGTGACCGGGAGTTCCTGACCTCCCACCTGAGAAAGCTCCTGACACCCAGTCCCTGCGACTGGGCCAATCCAGGGACCCAAGCTCTTAGGCGCAGAAGTGCGGGAGGGGATGCGCCTGGTCAAGGACTGCTGGCCCGCGTGTCGCCTACAGATCCCAGGGGCTGTCTGGGACGCAGAAGAGGGTGGGCGATAGGCACTGGGAGACCTTCTCACGGGATGTCTGCGCTCTTCACCCACGGGGTATCAAAGTCCTGAGGGTGGATTGTGTCTCTCTCAATAAACCGGATCCCAGGAAAGGTGTGACCTCTCACAAGAATGCAGCAGGGCTCGAGATTACAAGGGCAAATAGGTTTTTCAGATTTCGTTTTTATGGTCGGATTAAAGTTTATTTTCCATAATAGAGCACCTAATAAAACCCATAAAGCTCTGTCAGGCCTCCGGCTGGTGGCCTCGTTTAACACTTTCACTTCATAAATCATTTTACAGCTTGCCAGGTGTTTCCAAAACGCGAAGCAAACAAGAAAAAAAAAACAAAAAAAAAAAAACCCAAAACGAATACGGACGCTTCCAGAGTCCGCTTGCTTTGTAAGCACACAAACAAAACGGTGTGGTTTGTTTCCAGGGCTTGGGAGGGAGGGAGGGCCTAGCAGGGGGTGGGAGATCCAGAGTCCCAAAGTGCCCGAGGCGGCTCAGATGTGTCAAAGGCCAGAAGTACTCTTCTTAAAAGCAGAGTCATCATCTCACCCGAAAAATGCCACCACGCCCTGAAACTGGAGAGGACTCGGGAGGCCCGGAGGACGACGTCGCTGGCAAGGAGACCACCTCCAGACCCAAGCGGGGTCCCCAAGCCTGGGAGTGGGTTACTCGGGACAGGGCGGTGCCGGGTCGTCTTCGGGACCGCCCTGGCCTCGGCGCGCCCACCCAGCGGCCGGCGACCCGGCGCTTCCGGGCTGGGCGCCGGCGTCCCGGTGCCGACCCCTGCATTCCGCCGCCCGCGCACCTGGCGGCCCCTCTCGCCTCCTCCCGCGAGTGTACACAAGGGCTGGGACAATGGTTG